TTCCAAAACAACAATTCCAAGGGGAAAAAGGAATTAAACCAAACCAAACCAAAAAAAAAAAAAAAAAAAAAAAAAAACAAAAAGGTTGAACACAAACACAAAGAGAGAGAGAGAGAAAAAAAAAAAAAAAAAAAAAAAAAAAGGTCTCATCCAACCAATAGAGGCAAGAAACACTAGCGTGACGACTAGAATCAGAATCGTACAGATTTTTTTCCGATTAGACATACTGGAAAGTAGTTTGTCTATCTTTGTGTTGAGCACACGCAGACGCGCTTGTACTCCCTCCATGTCTTGCTGAGCCTCCACCAACAGAATTTCCTGTTGTTGGAGCTCATCATTGACGTTCACCCCCGTTTCCTTCAACTCTTGAAGGCCGTGGGAAAGCCTATCTAAAATAATATCCTGCTCCATGTGCTCCTTTCTCTGAATTTGTTCTTGCCCCAAGAGAAAAGAGTCATTAACCTGGCTTTCATTAGAATTCATAATACGACGCTTCTCGGCTTCGACCACGCGGACCTCCACAGCGTCGCTAAACGTGCGAAGACCTTTTAGCTCAGTCTCGAGATTGCGAACTACTCCCTGACGACGAAGCACCTCATTCACTGAGAAAACCTGGTCACCAACCCTACCGTTGCGCTGCTCAATGACCTGCAAGACATTTTTGAGGAGCTCCAATTCTTCATCTGCTGCATCCAACGTGCGTCTCACTTCCTCAATGAGAACACGGTCAACTATTCCCTTCGCCCTAAACGACTCTTGTACGCTTTTCGCCTTTGCAACAAGCTCACTTACATCGCTGACAGATTCGTCAAAAGGGTCTCTCGACGAGGGCATTCCAATTCCTCCTAAAAAGACCTTTCAAGTGGTAAGAGAAGAAACCCACAGCACATTTCGTTTGCAACGCCAAAGGGAAAAGCAGAAAAAAAAAAAAAAAAAAAAAAAAAAAAAGAACAAAATTCAACCACCATTTGTAATGCTGACTTCGCCGGTTTTTATTTTTCGTTTCCTCAAATGGGAATAGTTTTCTTCTCTTGAGCGCGCTATGACGCATCGTCCAAAACCAGGGAACCGAAAGGCAACCCATGTATTGGGACGGTAAAAGTATTAAAAATAAATAAACCTAATAAATAATTAGAAATTAGTATCAAACAAAGACTTAAAAATATGCGCCCGGCCAAGGTCGTTTCTCCAATCCCTAGAAAAAGACTGGGCAGAAAAAAAAAAAAAAAGATCACGGCCTGATTGAATGCGCCCCACATCCTCTAATTCAGAGAAAGATTTATCTACGCGTAATGTTTCAACAAAAATAAATAATTGTAAAAGCGCTTTTTGTGATACTCAGCTCCTTGTGAACGCAAAATGTGGAGGTTTTTGGCGTCCACAGCCGCCAAACACTTCCTCGTGATTATTTATTTCTACTTTTTTCAATGATACCGCTTTGGAGGGCAACTGATGCAGTTCCTTCCTTCTTTTTCTGATTTCCCGCCCATCGTCTAGTAATCAAAATCAACTCATCGATAAAGAAATAGGGTAGTAAAATGTGACGCGTCGTCAAGCGGTTAGCGTCATTGGGTCACATATTCCTTCCACAGGATTTCACACAAAGACACACACACACAAAAAAAAACCTTTTCATAGATATCTTTTATAGGCAACCAAAAAAGAAATCGAATCAATCAAAGGAGTGGAACATTTGAGGCGGGTGCTCTAATTGAAAAGTCTTAAAATATGATTTTTACTTCACTTCTTATTTAAGCTCCCAGCAGCAAGGATTTTTCATGTAGGCGCTTCATTTCAGTGGACAACGCAGAAAGAAATTCAGAGGTGCAGCTGAAAAATTCCCTCATACAAAGCCTGCCCTTGCTTACCACATTCGACTCCAATGCATCATGCGAGCTTTTGAAAAGTTTATCGGAAGCCTCGTAATCTGCTTTTAATGCATCTCGTGTCTTGGTGTCCTCTTCATACGTTTTGGATTCCTTTAAGTCCTTTCCCTTTTTTGCATACTCAGTCTCCTTTTTATCCACAGCACTTCGGTACACATCATATTCGTTCACAGCCTTCTGCCTTTGCTGATCAACACGAACACATTCCTCATAATCTGCCCTGATAGCGTGTCCAGTCTTAATGACAGTCGTTTCCATGTTGTTCATAAACTCCAGCAAGGCATATTGTTGAAGGTGTTCAATAGCCTTCTTGAAATCTTCTGAGAAATCCTTAAGTGGTTCTGGAATACAGCTACCACTATTGAGCTTTTCAAACGCCTTGGAGGCCTTTCCCAAGGAATGCATCACCTCCCTCATGGCATGCTTTGCTTTATCCATGGCCGTGCTGTACTCGTTGAGAGCCTCATTTAATGCTTTCAACGAGGCACTCCTTTTATTATAGTCCTCATCCACGGTTTTCTCCCCCACAAGCCCCAAAGAAGCTTTAGTATTCAGCATAAACTTTTTCATCCTTTTCAATTAGCTTAAATTTTTCAGTAGCAAAATCCTGAGAAATAAAAAATATCTTAATAAGAGAAAAAACGCAAATCGGGTAAAAAAAGAAAAGAAAAAATCGGTACGCATGAATAAGCCGAGAAAAGGCCTAACCAAAAATCAACCATAACTTCCAACTTTGACAAGAACGCCTCATTGGAGTTCACCAGTTCTTATCAAATACAAAATTCATGGCGATAAATCCAATAAAGCAAACTTAACCACAGATTTTTGCTGTCCATACTTTTTCCTTCAATTCTAAATCCACTGACATCGCTCATTCATTTAACGGTACGGCCTTGATGCTATCGCTATTACAGTGACACACTTCCTGCTGGCTCAATTTTCACTTGCTTTCAGTCAATATAAGAGAGGTCAATAAATTAAATAAATAAGTAAATAAATAAAATGAATAAAA